GCCCCTCATCGCTGCCCCCCACACCAGATGTGCGTTGCCAGGGCAGCACAGAGCTGGCAGCAGCAAGCACCTTTCCTGCACAGCCCCTCTCTGGTCTGCAGCACCGGGCTGCACCCGCTGGGCTGCAAAGGCCCCAGGGGAGGGCAGGGTGGGAGCCTGAGCCCGCATCAGGCAGCCTGCACCTGTCCTGTGCACAAATCTGGGGGGCACGGGTCTCCACTGCCCCCAGGAGTGTGTGCAGTGGTGGAGAGCTGGCCCACCTCCCCGTCCCCCCCTTTACATGCATGAGCTGCCTGCAGCCCTGTCCTGCTCCCCGCAGCCCCTGTCACCCCCAAGCCCCGTGAACTGCTCGGCTGGGCAGCAGCCCCAGCCCTGCCCACCCAACTCCCTCTGGTCCCTGTGCGCCCCCCCTCCCCCCACTTACCTGTGGGGGCTGCTCTCCAGGCTGCTTGGCAGTCCAGTACATGTGTGAGCACGCACATGCACATGGTGACCCCTGCCTGACCACCCTCCTCCCGCTCCCCCAGCCCCTCGCAAGCTGGAACTCTGCCCACCTCCAGAGAGCTCTTTGCAAAACAGCAAAATCCTTGGGTTTCTCCAGCAAATGAGAAATCTGTTGTTTTCTCCAGTTTTGGATGAGAAAAGGAAAACCTGGATCCCTACTGAAGACAAGCCCAGAGATTTCCAATAGGAATTCAGTGTTGGAAGTGTTCTGCCCTGCTGTGGCCCTGTTGAGTGCTTTGCAACAGAAAAAAGCAGTGTTATTTTTCCGTGCTCAATAAAGGGTGCAAGCACAGCTGGTGCTTTTGAGGGGAGCCTTGAGCCTGGAAAGGTGGAGAACCACTGCCTCAGGGGCTGGAGGCAGCACCAAGTCTACTCTGATTCTGCTCTCTGCTCTTGGCTTGGGGAATAGGCAGCCCCCTCAGCCTGTTGCTTTTTTGCCTTTTCCCCAGGCGTTCGTTTCAGCAGTTCTGTCAGCCTCGATGACGTGAGCGCTCTGGCTGCCCTCATGACGTACAAATGTGCCGTAGTGGGTAAGTTGGGAAGTCCCAGGGGGCTCGGGTTGGGTGGGGATGGGATGGGGATGTTGCCCAGCAGGGTTTGTAGCAGGGCTCTTCCAAGGAACGCCCAGTGTTGAGTACGCAGAACGTGACAGTGGGGGCTCTGGGTGCCATAAAGGGCATTGCCCTGAGTCTGGGTCTGGGTCGCTCCCGTGACTTGCAAGCAGGGAGATCTGGGCGTTCCCCTCAGCCTGGTGGAGCTAGAAGTAGGTGGAGCGCTGGGGGTTATTAGTTGCATAACTTCCCTCCCTCTGCGGCGCGGAGTTCAGCTCTAGGGCATCCACACCTTGTTGAGCCGCTAATCCAGCTGCATGAAGTGGCAGTTGCGAGTCGGTGCAGCAGGGAGCGCTGCCTTGCGCTCTGGCGGTCCGTCCTCCCCACTTCATGCTGTATTGAGTCCTCTCTGGCGGGCTCTCATAATTGGTGCCTTCGCCCCACAGTGCAGCAGCAGGGGACCCAGCAAGCACTGCCTGAGTGCCAGCTGCTGACCTGGCTGCCTGGTGCCTTTCAGATGTGCCTTTTGGGGGGGCCATGGCCGGCATAAAGATCGATCCCAGGAAGTACTCGGTAAGTTGGCCCCATTCCCTCAGACGTCACGCTTCGCTTGCCTTGGATTCACGCGGCCTTTCCTGCATGTGTGCGTGTGGGGGGGGTGACTGATGCGCTCTGACAGGCCAGGAAGAGGAGGTTGTAGCAAGCAGAGCTCATCCAGAGGCTGTGAGCAGCAGCTTGAGGAGAGATGGGGGGGTGACGGATTCTGATTTGTGGTTTGGTACATTCGCCCAGACAGGTGACAAAACGCGAGGCGGGTTGGCATCTTGCCCAGCAGGAGAGGGAGGGGGTGTGAGTGAGAGCTGGGTGAGAGGCCGAGCATCGTGTGAGCAGGCTGCAAAGTGCAGTCCTCTCCCACCTCAGTGCAGCGGGGATCCTTTGCCCTGTCCAGGGCCTGCTGTGGCTGCCCCTCAAGTGCCTCGGCCCAAAGAGGCAGTGCCATGAGCCACACGGGGTCAGAACATGTGCGCTTGGGAGCGTGTGGTAGTCACTGGGTGCCATGCCTCGGGTCCAGGGCTCCTTTTTGGGGCCACAGTAACAGCTGTGTTTGCTGTTCTTGTGCAGGAAGCTGAGCTGGAGAAAGTCACGAGGCAGTTCACGATAGAACTGGCCAAGAAGGGTTTTATAGGTGAGGGGGTCCTTTCCCGGGCTCAGAGAAGGAGCCGGCTTGTCGGGGGGAGTAGAAACAGGGGCTGAGCAGTGTGCCGTGTAGTACGGGGAGCGAGGTGGCTGGAGTCTGTCTGCTCGTGAGGCAAATGCACTTCTCATCATGGCAGTGTGAGGGGTTGGAAGAGATGTGGTAAATCCCTGCTAAACCACCGGCAACAAACCCAGCAGCAGGGGCTCTGAAGAACAGGCTAGAGCCAGCCCCATGGTGCGGATGGATTGGTTGCCGTCTTGCCTAGGGACTGTGGAGGGTGGGACAGGTCCTTGGGGAGTAGAGACCAGCTGGGCTCAATGCCCCTTTTCTCCCTGGCAGGGCCCGGAATCGATGTGTTGGGGCCTGACGTCGGCACAGGCGAGCGGGAGATGTCCTGGATTGCGGACACATACGCGCACACTCTCGGCTACAGGGTATGCGGGCACGGGAGGCGGGGCGTGCGGACAGCCCCGTTCCAGGATGTGGCACGGCCCGCCTGGCCGGCTCAGCACCTCCCTGCTTCAGATGGGCCAGGCAGGCAGGGAGTAGCCTCCAGTGTCCCCCCAGTAAATCTGGAAACATGGCTCAGGGGCTGCTCCAGGTTGAAGGTCTTGGCTTCCTCCAGAAGAGGTATGCAAGACATGGCCTTGACCTGTGACCTCTGCCCTTTCCCTCCGGCCTGTAGGACATCAACGCCCCTGCCTGCGTGACGGGGAAGCCCATCAGCCAGGGTGGGATCCACGGACGCGTCTCAGCCACCGGCCGCGGCGTGATGCACGGGATTGAGAACTACCTCAGCAACACGCACTACATGGACCTCATCGGCCTGAGTCCTGGCTTCCCCGGCAAGACCTTTGTGCTACAGGTGAGCACCAGGCTGCGCCCTGGGGGTGTCTGTCCTTTCAAGGGAGTCCTCCCCACCCCCTCCAGTGACAGGTGCCATGGTTGGCAAGCGTGCCCTCGCCTGGCCAGCTCCCACCTGCCACAGTGCTGCTGGAGTCCACGTCCCGGGGTCTCCACACCCCTGGGAATGCAGCCAGCCTTGCAGCTCTGTGCTGGGAGCCAATGGGCAGTGCCAGCTTGCCACCCCCGGTGCTCATATGGGAAGAAGGCAGCTTTGTTTCGTCTCTAGCTGCTCGGCTCCTGTGGTGCCGCCGTACAGCCCAGCCCAGCACCTCCAGCCCCCTCAATGTCCCAGGCCTCGGCAGCCCATCTCCCTGTTGCTGTGCTGTTTTCCAAGCAGCTCCTTCTTCCAGCCACCTCCCCTGTCTCCCTTTGGGCCTGCTGGTGAGGTGGGCCCCGGGGGCCGGCTTCCCCGGCCCTGTTGGATTCAGGTTGGTGTGTGGGTTTCCCCTGCAGAATGTGTCTGGCAGGAGCCAGGCTGCTCAGGAGGGGACTTGGCTCTGGGCAGCAAAGCTCTGGGTCACCCCAGCTGCCAGCGTCTGTCCCCGTATCCGTCCCCCCCCGACTCTGCTGGTTCTCACTCCCTGCCAACCCAAAACCTTCCTAACCCCCACCCCCCAAGCCAAGCACTGAGTGGCAGTGACTGGGGGAGGGGGGTGGGGAGAGTTCATTTCCTGCCCAGGGACATGTGGCCTTGTCACAGGACCCCTAGGAGGAAGCAGCCCCCCTGCCTGGGGATGTTCTGCTGCCCCTCGCAGCTGGCTACAGAGGGCACGGAGCTGCGGCCCTGGGACCGCGTGAGCCATGCGAGGCGCAGGACAGGCAGGCCCTGCAGGCAGGGAGCTCTGTGGGTGCAGAGTGGAAATCCAGGTCAGCCGAGCAGCACTGAAAACGAGGCAAGACAGGCCAATGGCACGTGCTGTGGTCCGAGAGTTGGTTGCAGAGCAGGACTGGGAGAGCACGCACATCGGCTTCCCCGGGCCTAATGCCCCATGACTGCCTGCACAGGGGGCACTGCTTTACATTGGGGGGCCGGGGTGCAGTGACCCAGAGCTGTGCAGGGCTTGCTAGCAGAGGATAGGCATGGACACTGGACACCTGGACCAGACAGTTGATCTTCCAGATGGACTGTGGGCCCTTAGGCGAGCGCCCTGCGCACTATGGTGCCAGGATACCCGTGCTCAGTGAGGGGGCCCACAGCTGCCAGCAGCCCGGGCAAGGCAGAGTTTGCGGGGCTGCTGGACCCTCCCTGCATTGTAGAGGGGTCCCAGGCGGGCACTCGCTGTGGGCTGTGCCTGCAGCATCCCCATGGCAGCGGCAAGAACGCAAGCGCAGGTCACACCCGTGCTTTGCTCCATGGCTGTGGCTGCTGGCAGATGCTCCTGGGAGAGGGCTCTTGCCAGCTTGGTGCCACCGTACTGTGGGCAGCAGAGCCCTCACCTCCATCCTCACGGGCAGCGCAGCTTTGCTGGTCAAGCATGTGGCTGGAATTAAGTCCATCACTGCAGCGATGGGCAACGGAAGTGCTGTTTGGAGGGCAAGTCGTGGGATTGCAGCAGTGCGAGGCGTGTCCAGGGTTTCCTGGACTGTCACACACCAAATTCCTGCACAGAAGCTGAGTGGAAAAGCTGTGCCTGGGCCTGCAGAGCCGTGTTGCTTGGCCTCTTCCAGCCAGTGATGCCACTTCCAAAATGGACACGGCCCAGAACCACCCGTGGGATTCCTTGGATGCAGTGCGCCCGCCTGCTGCATGGATCTCACCAGGCCTTTGCTGAGCCCCTGTCCCACAGAGCTGGCGAAGGAGCGTGGGGGCAAGCGGGTGACAGGGCTGAGTGAGCAGGCCGAGTCCAGGAGGGGCATGGAGCTAGACCTGCAGCCTCCGGTGACAGGTCTGTGTTGGATCCGTGCTACCCTTCATGGGGAGCAAATACAATCCCCCACGAGGCTGGGCTGGCCACAGTTTCCTTCCCAGCCTCTCCGGCTGGCCATGACCCTGCCCTGTGGGATGCTGCCTTGGCTTCCTCCCAGCTTCTGGTGAGAGAAATGAGACTGAGCTGGGGTGGAAGTCTTGGCTGACGGAGCCAGGCTCATACCAGGAGCCGACGTCTCTGAGTCATCTGTCACCTTTGCTCTGTGGATTCATTTCCAGGAGATCCTCTGCTTCCTAAGGACTTTGTGGAGCTGGGGAGGAGCTGTAGTGCCCCTGGCTGTTTGCCGGGCAGGGATTCACCGGAAGGGCAGTTTGGGGTTTGATGAAATAAGAGCTCCAGCTGCAGGGCAGAGGTACTGGGGGCTGCCAGGCTCAGGCTGCCCTGGGAAGAGCCCAGCCACAACAAAGGCACCAAGGATGCTTCAGGAGGGTGGCCTGCTGGGGAGTGGGCTGCCAGCAGTTCTCCAGTCCTTTCACTACAGTTTTGACTCTGCCGGGCTGGGTTGGTATGGCTCAGACCCAAGGAGAGACGCCTGCCGTGGAAAACTTGCCTGGCTTTATCCCAGCAGCGCTGCTGCTCCAATAAAAAAAGGTGGCCCCACAAAATCCCTGCCTGGCTCTTTCCTACTGAAGTTTGATCCTTAGGGGTTCATAGATTGTCAGGGGCTGGAAGAGACCTTGTAGATCAGCGGGTCCAGTCCCCCTGCACTAGGCAGGAAAAGACACCTGGGGTCAAGTGACCCCAGTGAGGTGACTGTCCAGTCTCCTTTAAAGTTGATGACTTTTGTAGAGGGAAGAGGGACTCAGCACGTCTGTGACCTGGGCGGCGAGGGGGTCTGGGTGATGCTGTTCTCTTAGGCCCACCACAGCCCCTTCTTGCCCCCAGGCCCACGCATGTGCCTGCTTCCAGCTGCCAGGAGATGGCAGCCGAGGTTCTTGGGAGCTGCCAGCTGGACCTGGCATTGCAGGGCTTGGGGGGGCTTTGGTTTGGGGTGCCTCGGAGGGCCTCAGCTGCGTCACATGCGTGCAGCCAGCTCAGCACGGGCCCCGTGCCCTCTCCTCTCCCCACCAGGGCTTCGGGCATGTGGGGCTGCACACAATGCGGTACCTGCACCGCTGCGGCGCCTGCTGCCTCTGTGTTGGCGAGGTGGACGGCGCCATCTACAACGCCGACGGCATCCACCCCCAGGAGCTGGCAGACTACAAGCTGGTATGTGCTGCTGCCAGACGGGGGGGGGCAAGGGTGATGAGATACCAGGAGCCAACAAGACTCCTGAACAGTGTGGCCAGGCAGGCTGAAGAAACCAGTGGGGAGGGGACTGGGATTGCACTGGCCCCAGGGCCATGCACACATCAGCCACAGACTGTCCTTGTCCTGCCAGGAGCACGGCACCATCGTTGGCTTCCCAGGAGCAGAGCCCTACAAGGGCAGCGTCCTCGAGGTCCCCTGTGATATCCTTATCCCAGCTGCCACGGAGAGGCAGCTCACAGCAGAGAATGCCCACCTGGTCAACGCCAAGGTAGGAAGCAGCCTGGCCCTTGGTGCCTGTGTCCAGCTGGGTGTCAGAGCAGCCCTACAGCTGTATGGAGGGAGCATGGGGCTGTGACCCACTAGCGGAGAGTGTGGGTCACGCACTCCCTGTGTGCTGCTGGCCCAGAGCCCGGGTGAGGTGTCTGGAGGTACCCGGGGAGAGGAGTTGCAAGGGCTGGGGCAGTCCAGCGAGGTGACAGGCCCCAGGCATCCCTCTGCCCTGGGACATCAGTGGAGCAGGGTGCACCGAGCACGAGGCGGCTGGGCCTCTGCTCCCTCCTGAAGTCGAGATGCGAGCCCTTGGTTCCAGCATAGACCCAGGGCCTTCCGCTGGGCGCAGCCTGGACAGTCCCATAGTTGCCTGCCAGGCATCCGCTGTGCTGGCATGGGGAGGGGAGGGGGTGGCAGCCAGTCCCTGCTGCTGGGCATCATCTGTCTCACCCCGGGTCTGTTCCCGCTTTGCAGATTATCGCCGAAGCAGCCAACGGCCCCACAACACCAGCAGCACATGAGATCTTCCTCAAGAGGAACATCCTTGTTATCCCAGTATGTTGGACCCTGGGACCGGGGGAGCAGGAGCGCTGTCCTCCATCCCCAGCTTGGCCTAGGGAGCTGGAGGAGTTTGGTCCATGCAGCCGTGGGGCCTGGCCAAGCAGCCTGAGTTAAGTGCAGGCTGAATTGGCTGAGCAGCATCTCCCCCGGGGCTCTGGGTGCCTCCTGCAGCCAGCACACAGCCTTTGCTCCATCACTTGACTGCCCTGAGGCCCTGGTCACCCCCGAGGCAGAGAGCACAGTGCCTGGGAGCATCCCCTGGGCCCCAGAGCAAGGTGCTGCCCACCCTGGGTCTCAGTCTAGGGGGCACTGGGGTAGGAGGAGGGAGGCTGCTGCTGGGACTTGCACTGATTGGGCCCTTCCAAGCCCTGAGTGCTGCCCCTGACCCAGGACCTGTACATGAGCGCGGGCGGCGTGACTGTGTCCTTCTTTGAGTGGCTGAAGAACCTGAACCACGTGAGCTACGGGCGCCTCACCTTCAAGTACGAGCGTGACTCCAACCACCACCTGCTGCTCTCCGTGCAGCAGAGCCTGGAGCGGGGCCTGGGCCGTGCCCACGGCGACCTCCCCATCGTGCCCTCCCCGGAGTTCCAGGCCCGCGTGGCGGTGAGTCTGCTCAGCCCAGGGAAGCCAGGGCTGGAGCACTGTCACCTCTCAGGTGTGGCACTGGGGCAGCTGCCCCTGCCTGTGGGGTGCTGGGAGTCACTGAGGCAGGGCATGGGTCAGGGCAGCTCCAAGGGCTCCCTGCAGCTGCCCCCCTACCCATGGGTGCTGCGGGCACACAGCTGGCATCCAGTGTGGGGCCCCATGCTGCTCTGTGCCAACGTAGCTGGCTCCTGGCCTCTGACACTCCTGTGGGACTTGTGTGAGCCCTGGGGGCAAGTGACATGAGGTGCCTAGCCCTGTGGCCTGGCCAGGGGTGGGGGGTGTGCAGGCCCAGGTGAATGCACAGCCCTGGTAATGGGGCTGGGGCAGAGGCAGACTTGGGAGCTGTAGGCACTGGCCCTTTAGCTTGTGGGTCCAACCAGCCCTGGAGCATGATGTGGGGCAGCCACAGAGGCAGGGGAGGGGGTTGCCCTGAGCTAGTCACCAGGCATGGAGGACTGGGGCGTGGGCTGTGTGCGGTGCCATGAGGGCACAGCTTGGGGTGGGTCCTGCCTGGCACTGCCCCAAGCCAGCACAGGAGACCCAGACATCACATCCCGCAGCACAGACCCCGCTGGCCCCAAGCCAGAGCAGAGCAGTGCCCTCCAAAGCCCTGGCTGGTGCAGGGGTGATGCAGAGGCCCCCAGCCCCACGGGCAGCCTGGGCCAGGAGGAGAGCTGCCTCTCTGAGACTGGCGTGTTCCTACGCAGGGCGCCTCGGAGAAGGACATTGTGCACTCGGGGCTGGCCTACACCATGGAGCGCTCGGCCAAGGTACCTCCTCGTCGCTGCTGTGAGCAGACCCCTCCCATGAGTGCGCCCTGGTGTCCGCCTGCCCAGGATCAGGCCGAGGCCTGTTGCCACCCCCTCCCCTGGCACTGGAGGGTGGCCCCCTCCTTCAGCACTGGCTCCTTGTTCTGTCTCCATGCGGCAGAGGACTGCTGTAGCTGGCTGCTTTGGGAGTGTTGGGGAGAGCTGCTTCCTGGCTGAGCCCGCGGGGCAGGGGATAGATAGGGACAGCCCTGCCCAAAGCTGCGGGTGCTGCAGTGGGGCGGGGGAGGGCCCGGGGACCACTTTGTGTCGGGGCAGCAGCACTGCTAGCGTGTGCAGCCCAGGAGCCCAGCAGCACTGGAGGAGGGTTGAGCATGAGCTGCCCCTGCCACCCCCCGCAGCCTCCACGCCTCACCTCCACACTCCCTGTTCCCCAGCAAATTATGAGCATGGCCCAGCAGTACGACCTGGGCTTGGATCAGCGCACGGCCGCCTACCTCTGTGCCCTGGAGAAGGTCTTCAGGGTGTACAACGAGGCTGGCTTCACGTACTGACCGGGCTGGGCTGGGCTGGGCTGGGGGCTGCATGCCCCGTGACTCCAGCCCCAGCACGTGCAGGAGCTGCCCAGGCTGGGTGTGTCGGGGAAGCACCTGCATGCAGCACAGTGCCTTGATAAAGGGTTTATTGGAGCGCGCCTGTGTCCCCCATTTGCATGCGTCGCCCCCCTCCAGGCGTGGCCATGGCCCGGCTATGCCAGTTTCTGCCCCAGGCCCTTGATGGCCTCCTGCGCCTTGGAGGCTGCCGTGCTGATGGTGCTCTGCGTCTGTTTGGTCGCCTCCTCGGCAGCTGGGCAGCACGGGGGCAAGGAGAGAACGGCGGTTAGGTGAGCGGGGCCCCCATAGGCAGCCAGTCCCCCCTGCTCTGTGGCCCCCACTCACCTGTCCGGGTGCCCTCCTTGGACGTGTCTGCCGCCTGCTGCAGCACCTCCCGGGCCGCCAGGACTAGGAGAGGGGAGACGGTGGGTGACTGCCAGCCGTCCAAGCCTGGCCAGCTGCAGGTCCCAGCCCTGCGGAGGGCCTGGCAGCCTGCCTGGCTTGTGGCAGGTGCGAGCCCCTCCCTGGCAGTGCCGCTGGCTTTCTCAGTGCTCCCTCCCCAGGGGCTGATGCGGCTGGTCCAAGGGCCTGGGAGCTAGGTGCAAGGCAGCTGGGGGTCTGGCCCTCTGCCCCCAGACCCTGGGGGTACTGGGCCGCCCCATTCCCCCAGTTGGCTCTGCAGCTTAGAGCACGCCAGGCCTGCGGGAAGCCTGCCCTGGCAGCCCCTCCTGGCCCTGGGCACTGACCTGCAGAGTCCGTCACGCCCTTGGCTGCAGCCTGCGTCTGCCCGCGGAGACTGTCAAAGGATTTCTTCATGGTGCTGCGCTCAGTCCTGCTGCCCCTGGGTGGAGGAGGCCTGTGCTGCCCAGGGCCGCAGCCACGGCTGTTAAATACCCGGCGGGTGTGGGGGTCAGCACAGCCGGGCGGCAGAAGTGCTGAGCACGGAGCTGGCACCCGAGCTGCCAGTGTCAGCAGAGCTGTTGTGCGCGGGGCTGCAGCGCGTGGGGGGCTCTGGTGCTGTGTCTCTGTCCCGCCTCTGGATGCAGGCCCAGCTGCCCGCTCCCTGCCCTGGGGCGCTGGCTCTGGTCCCGCTGGCTCTCCGGCCGGAGGCTGGCGAGCCGCACGGCCGGGAGCTGGCTGGGCTGGTGGCTGCCGGCAGGCGGGGGTGGCTGGAGCCCGGCTTCCCCCAGCAGCAGGGAGGAGGGAGGGTGTCCAGGAGGCTCAGGGCAGCACGGGGGTTTCGGGGGGCTGGGTGCACCGTGGTGGTGGCTGCGTGCTCAGTAGCTCCAGGCCTCCCCTGCCGTGTTCCCCCACCCTTGGGCTCAGGCCGCTGGCTGCAGCAGGCACGCAGCGCCCAGGAAAGCGGTGAGCGGCTTGCAGTGATGCTTTTACTGGGCCGGGCAGGAAAGCACTCAGCCCCGTGGGGAAGGCAGTGGAAGGTACCTTGCAGGGCACCCGAGTCGCGGCGTCCTTGGAGCCACTGAGCTGGGCAGGGGCAGCTGCGGGGCACCCTGCAGACCTGGGCTCCCCGGTGCCACCTCTGCAGCTGGACAGCGGGGAGCAGGCCCAGGGTAGGGGGCACTGCCCTGCCCTGCCCCTCAGGCCAGAGCCGTCCCCTACCCCTGCTCCACTGCACAGACCCCGGATGCCCCCGTGGTGCCCCCCCAGCCCAGAGATGCCAGAGGCGGCAGCTACAGACAGGAGTTGTCTTTATTCACGGACACGGGGCGGCTGTGTCACTGGCAGCCGCCCGCGGCACACGACACACACGGCGACGGCGGGGGGCACGTCCATGCCACGGTCACAACACAGAGCGTGGGAGCGGAAAGGGGGGGCTGCGGGGCAGGGGGCCGAGGCACGTGCAGGCCAATGTACAGCAGGACAGGGGCAGGCAGCACACGCGTGGGCACAGGGTGGGCAGCCCCGGGAGGGACACGGGGCGCACACGCCCGGTCACGCGGGCAGCAGGGGGGGCTCCGGGCACGCTACACAACACGACACGGAGACATGGACGCGGCCGGGTCCCTGGGGCAGGACCGGAGGAAGAACTTGTGAGGGGTGGGGGGACGGGGCTCCACTGCCCACCGGCCCCGGCACTGGGGGGTGGGCGGGCACGGGGGGCGGGCGGCTTGGGGCTTGTGCTGCTGGTGGGAAGGGCC